TTACTGTACTCTATAACTACTATTACTATACTCTATTACTGTACTCTATTACAGTACTCTATAACTACTAGTCCAGTACTCTATTACAGTACTCTATAACTGTACTACTACTGTACTCTATAATTACTATTCAAGTACTCTATTACAGTACTCCATAACTGTACTATTACTGTACTCTATAACTACTATTACTATACTCTATTACTGTACTATATTACGGTACTCTATAACTGTACTATTACTGTACTCTATAACTACTATTACTATACTCTATTACTGTACTATATTACGGTACTCTATAACTGTACTATTACTGTACTCTATAACTACTATTACTATACTCTATTACTGTACTATATTACGGTACTCTATAACTGTACTATTACTGTACTCTATAACTACTATTACTATACTCTATTACTGTACTATATTACGGTACTCTATAACTGTACTATTACTGTACTCTATTACATTACTCTATTACTGTACTATTACTATACTCTATAATTACTATTACAGTACTCTATTACAGTACTCTATTACTGTACTATTACAGTACTCTATTACTGTACTATTACAGTACTCTATTACTGTACTCTATAACTACTATTACTATACTCTATAACTACTATTACTATACTCTATAACTACTATTACTATACTCTATAACTACTATTACTATACTCTATAACTACTATTACTATACTCTATAACTACTATTACTATACTCTATAACTACTATTACTATACTCTATAACTACTATTACTATACTCTATAACTACTATTACTATACTCTATAACTACTATTACTATACTCTATAACTACTATTACTATACTCTATAACTACTATTACTATACTCTATAACTACTATTACTATACTCTATAACTACTATTACTATACTCTATAACTACTATTACTATACTCTATTACAGTACTCTATAACCACTATTTCAGTACTCTATTACAGTACTCTATAACTCTCTATAACTACTATTTCAGTACTCTATAACTGTACTCTATTACTGTACTATTACAGTACTCTATTACTGTACTCTATAACTACTATTACTGTACTCTATTACTGTACAATTACAGTACTCTATTACTCTATTATAGCGACTGAAGCTCGTTAGTAACGCACACTCTGTAACCATCGCCGTCCAGACGCTCTTCGCATTAGCACGCCTCTCATCAGTTCACTATCTATTTATTTATTATATTTAGTCATTTAGCAGACGGTTTATCCAAAGTGACTTACAAATGAGGACAATAGAAGCAATCAAAACTAACAAAAGAGCAATAATATGCAAGTGCTATGACAAGTCTCAGTTAGCTTAAACCTATTCTTCTTATTTATACTAATTAAATGTTAACTAATTTGACTAACTTGTCCTTCCAGAGTCACATTTACCTGCCAATGCCCTTCAGCTGAACAGAAGGAGAAAGTGAGGCGAGTCCTTTAAGATTTCATTCATATTTATTGTTCCCAGAAGGAAACAGCTTTGTTTCAGCACTTACACACAAAACAATCAGATACATATTGTTTCAAATTAGGGCTGTCATCGTTAATGTATGCGATTAATTTTACAATCCTTAACCCGTTAAAATAATTTAACACAAAATTACTGAAGCACAATTTCTATTCTAACCCTTTAACCCCATTGTGCTTCTCTGCTTGCGATCAGATCATTATAAGCCACTAAACTCCGGGAAGGTTTTCAGTTTAGTGATCCAGCAAGCGAATGCGTTCAAACAATCCGTCCAAAACAGTGCTAATATACAGTAAACCAGGCTGATTACATCAGAGATTGCAGACAGAACAGAGACTCGCGTTGCGTTTTCAGTGAATTATTGATTCCAGTGTGTTTGGCTTTTAAACACGAGCTCTGTCATATTCTGTGACTGTCTGAAGAGCGCGAGCCCTCACACAACACACCGCTGTATGTTCAGATGAGACGCAAACTACTGGATAACAGTCTCGCTAGTAAAGTTTTGATGGATGAAGACTGCGGTGGCGTACAGGAGTCGTACAGTAAGCACACGTGAGTCCGTTATAATGCGTGTATGAGTGCTCTTGCCGCACTGATCACACTGTATTTATGTACAGGCACAGGCATTTCCCTACATTCACGTTGTTTCCACACACATTCACGATCATGTTGCTGTGTTTAGTTATTCTGAATGGATCCGTGTACTGTAGTAGATATATGCAGTCAGCAGGCGGGTGGTTTAGGGGTTTTTGGCATCTCCATGTGGTCCTGTTCGCAACTTGACTTCTCTAAAATGTAAAAAAGCTCTGCTGTTGCGCTGTACACATACTATACCATTCTGATTCATATGTGCTTATATGGGCTCCTTATATCATTTGGTTCTTTGGTGTCCTTTTGGAGTTTCTAAGTGTCCTTTTTTGGAAAGTCATCAATTTATCTTGAAAAAAGATGTTTGAGAATCACCCTTCAATCTTTTGGTTTACTTTGCTGGATATCCAAAGTGACTTACAAATGAGGACAATAGAAGCAATCAAAACTAACAAAAGAGCAATAATATGCAAGTGCTATGACAAGTCTCAGTTAGCTTAAACCTATTCTTCTTATTTATACTAATTAAATGTTAACTAATTTGACTAACTTGTCCTTCCAGAGTCACATTTACCTGCCAATGCCCTTCAGCTGAACAGAAGGAGAAAGTGAGGCGAGTCCTTTAAGATTTCATTCATATTTATTGTTCCCAGAAGGAAACAGCTTTGTTTCAGCACTTACACACAAAACAATCAGATACATATTGTTTCAAATTAGGGCTGTCATCGTTAATGTATGCGATTAATTTTACAATCCTTAACCCGTTAAAATAATTTAACACAAAATTACTGAAGCACAATTTCTATTCTAACCCTTTAACCCCATTGTGCTTCTCTGCTTGCGATCAGATCATTATAAGCCACTAAACTCCGGGAAGGTTTTCAGTTTAGTGATCCAGCAAGCGAATGCGTTCAAACAATCCGTCCAAAACAGTGCTAATATACAGTAAACCAGGCTGATTACATCAGAGATTGCAGACAGAACAGAGACTCGCGTTGCGTTTTCAGTGAATTATTGATTCCAGTGTGTTTGGCTTTTAAACACGAGCTCTGTCATATTCTGTGACTGTCTGAAGAGCGCGAGCCCTCACACAACACACCGCTGTATGTTCAGATGAGACGCAAACTACTGGATAACAGTCTCGCTAGTAAAGTTTTGATGGATGAAGACTGCGGTGGCGTACAGGAGTCGTACAGTAAGCACACGTGAGTCTGTTATAATGCGTGTATGAGTGCTCTTGCCGCACTGATCACACTGTATTTATGTACAGGCACAGGCATTTCCCTACATTCACGTTGTTTCCACACACATTCACGATCATGTTGCTGTGTTTAGTTATTCTGAATGGATCCGTGTACTGTAGTAGATATATGCAGTCAGCAGGCGGGTGGTTTAGGGGTTTTTGGCATCTCCATGTGGTCCTGTTCGCAACTTGACTTCTCT